TCTAAATGCACTATTTCAAATTTTTTTCTATGGTCCCGATGGCAGTGCATTACAAAGTTCTGACTATATTAATTTCGTATACAAGAATTCACCGAAATCTAAAGATCTAACGAAGTTAATCTCTTTAATATGTAAAAAGATATTAAGATCCATTATTAGCATAGCTAAATAGTAAATACAAAGCTCTTTACCAAAACTTACAGTAGAGCTTCTTGTTCGTCTTTTAGTGGACCATTTTCTTGGAATTCAGACATATATAGCGTTTATATATAACTATATATATAATATATAGAAAACTTCGCTTCTAAGTGAGGTTCATAGAGTTACTGATTATTTTTGATTATTTTGACCTAGTGAATATAGACGTCCTGCAAAAACGAAACATGGCTTTTGCAGTGATTTTTACTTGGTGAAACGTCAAGTTCTCGAAAAGTACTTTAAAGTGTATAAATAAGTTACCCGGGCAATCGATTTACATCAGCCAATCAGACGAATGTCCTCCTATGAGGCCAGAGGTGCTTCCGAACTCCAAATAAACTAATCTTTTACCACAAGTCATCTTCATGTTCATCACTTTTCTCACTACTCCAGTTTTTGTTACCATCATATCACTCTCTCAATCAAGTACTCCAACTACTGAAAATGTTGGTGCTGTCTCAGTCACCTCTAATCGAGGACTAACATGCGCAACCTTTCATGTAACAGAACCTTCCATGACCTGTCATACGTAGTGTCACCACTCCACAATTGGACCTCCTTTCAGAAATTTCCTTTTCTAGTTTCGTACTTGCACTTGGACTTAACCACAGAGCTCCGCATTCAATTATGGTCTCCTATTAGATTACAGAAGCTAAAAATCCTAAGATTTTTGCCTCCAGCCTGACTTGAACTGTCGACCTAGTCTGTGGGGGTTTGGCAGCTTAACCGCTAAGCTATAGGGCCCAAACCCTCTTTTCTATTTACTTCCAATTCACAAAAATCATCTATTGCTTAAAAAAAATAAAATAAAATAAAGCATATAATACTTATCCTAATTTACTAACTTATCTCTCTAGGTATATGAATAATAGAATAAGCAATTATTTTTTTTAGATTTGATTGACTGATATTATTACTTCTAATAATGAAGACCAATTATTGACCAAGAACGCATCATAGCAAAGTGATTGTGACATCTGGTTATACTGTTTTTGAAATATTTACAGAGTAAAGTAATCCCATAGTATTCTTCTATTATACTGTATTAGACAATTTACTTGTTGGTATTTCATTTTTAAATTCACTAACTATTGCCTTTTTTGCCTGTCTATTAAATACTGTTTGAATTTTATTCACAACATCAATCAATTATAAACTTTAATTAAGCTTTTTTTTAATTACTTTGTTAAAATTTTCAGCCCATTGGATGCTTTGAATTTCTGCAGTAAAACATCTGTTGACTGTATAACTCGCCCAACTACTTCTACAAAGATACAATATATATGTAAAGTAACGTTCACAAGCAGGAAACACCTCAATTATTTGAGACCATCTATCTTCGAATTGTTTTTGACAAAGGGTATTACACATTGTAAAAATTTAAACTGAAACAATTTGAACTGATCGCCTAACTTTCCTCTTTATTTTTTTTTTTAAATTTAAACCTATATAGAATATGCAGTAGAAATGTTGTATTTCCTAATGATTATTTTGCACAGCTGAGATTAATGCAGAATCTGTATCAGAATATATTATAGTAGGAGTAACAGAGGAAGCCTCTCTTAATTCATTTAGAACCCAAGAAAATGTAACCTCTGTTTCATCTTTCAAAAATGCTGCTATCATTACCAAGCTTCTAAAGTTGTTATCAATAACTGTAACTATCAATAAGATCATATCAAATTGATTAGTTTGGGATATTGTATCAATAATTACGACATCTTCAAACTGTTCATAAGTTTGTGTTTGATCTGAAGATATCCAGAACAATTCTGTCAACCTTCTTTCATCCAAATCAAAATTTGACTTTACTATCCATAATGGGTCCTCATCCTTCTTTAAGTACAAATTAGTTAAAGTTTAACAGACATCAATTTTTTGAGGTTTTAATTGTTTTTTATAATGTTCTATTGCATTACTCAAATCTTTCTTATTAACTTTTTTATCAGAAAATGATGCAGTAAGTAGGTTATATTGCATTGATATACCTAACCTCCTATGAATTGTCCAAAACTCAATTTTTCTAACATCTCATTAGTTAAACAATGAAATTTTGATGCAATCTTCATAATAAGAGAATTTATAGTATGACAATAAACACCTACAACACTAGTTATTTGAACTTTAAGTGCTTTTTTAGGAAATGACATATTAACCTGCCAAGTACAACCTATCATTTCTGACCTTCTTTCTCTTCTATCTTCTACTAATACTGCCTTTTCAGCTTTATGTATATATGTATATGAATACTCAAAAGTATAACAATGGATTATATTTTTATTAACTAAGTTGATATTACAATGCTTTTTACAAAAGCAAAACCTTACACTTTTAGCATAGTTCTCAAGATATGATTCAGCTTCCTCACATATTTTAAATTCTATATCCACTTTTAATTTTAACACTTCATCATCAGAATCTTCATCATTAGAATTCTTATTTTTTTCATTATTTTCAAAACTGTTTAGCAAATTTCATTAACTAAATTGTTTTCATATGAAGGATAATACTGATAAATAAAATTAGCATCATCTTTAGACAAAGGATAATATAAAAAAGACAAATCCATATTAATATCAGACTTCATGAATGTGATAAGAAGAAATAGTGCAATTCAAGTAAGAATAAGAATAAGTAATAATGATGTGGCAAGTGAATTAAGCAGAGTAGATAGATGAAGTAATCAAAATAAAGCCACAATGCGGAGATGATAAGACAAATAAACAAATTTAAAAAAGCAACATTAAAGCAACCAGATACAATCCAAGTGAAGTAGAGATGTGATATAATATCAGAGAAAAATTCATGAAATAAATGTCGATGCAGATACAATATCCAAGGAAAAGTTGTAATTAGAACTGTGGATGCAATAAAAAACCGTGAATATAATATAAGGCCAAAGATGCAATATAAGGCTATAAATGCAATTTAAGGTCATGAGTGCAATAAAAAACTGTAAATACAATATAGGCCGTGGATGCAATATAAGACTGCAGATGCAATATAAAGCTGTAGATGCAATATAGAGCTATGGATGCAATATAATACTGTGGATGCAATATAAAACCGCAAATGCAATATCTAAAGAAATAAAAAAAAAGTGCAAGAAGGAAAAGGTGCAATCAAATAAAAGTCATAAAAGCAGAATATAAAATTATAAATTATATTATGATTAGTTAATTTTGATTATAATATGAGTTAAAATTTAATAGTTTAACCTATAGTTAAATTTTATTATTAATTACTACTAGTTAAAATTTTAATAGTTTAACCTATAGTTAAATTTTATTATTAATTACCACTGGTTAAAATTAGTTATATTCTTAATATTGATTATATAAAAATATAAAGTAAAAGTTAAAATAGTATTTATATATGTAACAATTGAATTATATATAAAAATGCATATTTATACAAATCTATTCAAATAAATTAAAATTCACTATAAATAGGCAAATATTCATTTCAATGCAGATTAATTTGACAATAAAATTTTTGTAAAACTCTAAAAATAGTTAATATATTAAACTGTATTAGAACAAAAGAAAATTTTGATGCATTATTTTAATAATTATAGATTAGTCAAAAAGAAGATCATGTATTTGTATAAGTATATTCGTTTATTGAAAAAATTAAACTGATATATTAAATATTGAACAAAAGAATTCAAATAATTTTAAAATATTATTTATTAATATATTTTAATTTAAAAGTAAAAAATGAAGATTATTATGATAAAATATTAAAAATAACTCACATTAATGTAATTAAATAAATTTAAATATTTTAAAATAATTCTAATATATTCGAATATATTTAGATAAATAATTTAATAAAATAATATATTTACAATTAACTTTGAATATATAGAAACTTTGATTATATATAAACTTTGATTATATAGAATAAAATGCTTTAGAGAAATCTTAAAGATTAAAAAATTATAAATAAATAAATTTTTTTTTTACATTATTTTTGTAAATATTTTTTTCAAATTCATTATCATTTATCAAATCTTCACTTTTTATAATTACATAATCTTTTAAATCAACTCACCAACAAAATTTTGTATAATTGTTCTTATCATATTTCATTAATTACTCTTTTACTCTTCTTTTATTTCATCTTTTACACCTTTATGCTTTTCTTTTCTTCTCTTATCTCTACTTTATGCTTTTACCTTTTCCTCACTTCTTTTATTCTTCATTTCTTCATTTATACTGTTATTCTTTTTCTTACTTCTTATATTTGCAATTTCATTTAAAATAATTTATACTCTTCTATTAATTTTATTATATTTGCTTTAATTCAAATATTATCAAATTTTTCTCCTTTAAATTAAATTCTGTTAATAAAATAAACATGTCTAAATACAATAAAAAGGCTCAAAAAACAAGAAATATTTTTGCTAGTATTCTAGCTAGTACTATACACATATATTCACAAAAATAAGTAATACTAAGAAAACTACAGATATTATATCTTCAAGATAGATCATTTCAGATCAAGGCGAATCTGTTTCAAGAATTTCTAATAGTATTTCTAACTTTTTGTAATTTTAATACAAAAATTTTAAATCATATCTGTAGTATTTAACACCAGTTATATGAAAATTTGTATAATATGTAGATTAAAATAATTTTTATCAAAACAAAAATTAAATTTTGTTTAATATTAGGTTAGGGTTGAGGCCTAGGATAGAATATAAACATAATTTATACCAAAATTTTGCAAAAAATTTTTTTTGTTAGAGCTCCAAAGGTAGTTTTATAAATGAATTTTTGAGTTATGCCCATTTTTTAAAAAATAAACAATAATTTCTATAATATATCTGATCTTCACATTATACTGCAGCTCATAGCAAAAATTAGTAGTATGATTTAACAATACCATTTTAATAATAATTTAATAAATTAATTTAATTTTTATATCATATTTTAGAAAATACTTTTTCGAGTATTTTGGCTTCGTTAAAGGAGAATACAAATTTATTAAAAAACTTTCTAAAAAGGTCGATAGAATTGAAAAGAAATTAGATCAAATTGAAAATAAATATTCAAAAAGTTTTGACCTTGCTTATGAAACTAGCTTTATTAAAGTATTTTTTTTGTTTAAATTTGAATAAAAATTATAAAATTTCTAAATATATTTAGATATTATATATAAGATTTAATATTAATAAATTCCTAATAAAATCTAAATTTTATTAATAGCTAATAGTAAAAGAAATAGCCAAAGCATTAATTAAAGATTCATTTTATATATCTGACAAAAAATTAATTAATGCAACTGAATTTTACTTATTACAAAATTATAATAAATTTTTTGAAAATATGTCAAAAATGTAATAAAAAACATATTATGCTAAGTCTATCAAAAAGCCTATAAATTTTTTTAATTTTTGAATAATATTAAATTTTCTAATTAATTCAAATATATTTGAATTAATTAGAAATAATTTTCGATCACTTGGTCAACAACAATTTACTGAACTATAGTCAGCAATATAGAAAAGCAACATAGTGGACACAGCAATATTCTTGGTTTTGCACTAAGCAAACTTGTTATCGACGAAGCTTACAATATGTGAAACACCAAAGAGTAGCCGTATAAGAATATTAGGCGGGTTTGTGTTTTGGGTCAAGTTTTTCTTTTTTCGACAGACTCCCTCACACATTTGGTATCTAAACTAGAAGGTTTATTCTAAGAACAAATAGAGCAAAGTCTCTGGGCAAGAATATCAAGTAGATACTTGGAAACTGGATTATACAACTGTAAAACTTACAAGAAGAACCTCACATATTCTTGTTGACTCTCCACTTTTTTTTTAGGGAAAATTTTGTAAAAAAGTGGGCGATT